TCAAAAAAGCGGTTAACCTTGAGAAGTCTTACTCAAAAAAAAAGACGAATCGTGTTGATCACCATATGTTAATAACTCTGCTATCGATCTCAATGCCTCTATACAAACTCCTTTCATCAGAGAACATGAAATCAAATATTAGAGACCATGAGGAAAATTCAGATGCAGCAACTAGTTGAAGTACTAGAAAAGAAGTATATTGGCTACCTTGTTAACCTCATTAACAATTTGAACTTTCTGCAGCTGCTCAATTAAATATCTGCAACAAGCAGAGCAAAAAATTAAAATTGTCATATCAAATGGCATAATATGGCATCAGTGGAACAGAGCTCCTGAAATAGACATAGTGTAATGAAGTTTTATGAGCTTAGCGCTCAAACCTCTACTGTAAGCTTTATACAGACTGACACATGAGAGAAATATGTTGAACTCCCACCTAAAAGTTGACATATTTGTTTAAGAATTCTAATGTTTACATCATCTCAAAGCTTTTTCCATAAGTAATGGGATCTATATTAATTATAGCTGTACATAACAAAAATTAAAGTTTGAAAGTTCAGAATAACAAAAATATCTACAAATTAAATTTCATAATGTCCAAGGAAATCTCAGGCCCTTGTTTATAGTAACCCTTACACATTTTCATATACAGTTGCAGAGGGCACAGGCATGACTAGTCATAAGGCAAAGTTTCTGCTGTAAGATCAATACAAGTCATAAACTGTGGAAAAAATTCTTTGTTTAAGTTTCTTAATGCACCAAAAAGAACATCTAAACTAAAACATGACCAAAAAATCATTCAAACTAAATAAACAAAAAGAACAAATGAAAAAGGTTAAGAGTATGTTCGAAAGAAATGACCTGTTTTCATTAAATCCATTTGGAAATATACATTTAGTTCAATCATTAGAAAAATTATAAAATTTGAGATGTATTACTTAAATTTCCTTTAGAAGTCATTTCGGGTTGAGTTTTTCCTCTATTCCATTCATGCTTAAACAGAGTCGTAAATATTAGCGTCAGTTAAACATTCCCCTAAGCTAAAAAGCTCCAAAAAACTCAAATCACATTGCTTAAACTCTACATGTACGTTAGTGACCTAAGGGTGTATCCATCTATAAGAAAGGGTTTACATAGTTGAATTCTCATTTGAAAAAAATCCTAAGAAATCTATTTCCACACTCCTCCTGTCCTCCATCCACACCAACCAGCCAAGTGAAGAAGCAGTTCAGTGTTTCATAGCGGCTAATGTATGTATTAACGAGCTACAATAAAAATACAAATGCATAAATGAATACGCGTATACGTGGATATAGACATACAGTGGCTACAAATATATGCATTAAAATAGCTCCCTTTTTATCAATTTTCAACAGAAATAGACTCTGAAGTTGAACTTTCTAATCAGCCAAATTCTCGATCAAAACAGAGTTAATTTCACCGACACGTCATACCAAGCAGTACTTAACTACAACAGTAATTCCTTAATAGACACTTGCTGACAATTAAACGATCAAAAAACAGAAACCCTAAATGTTACAAAATCGAAGTCATGTAAAAAAAAAAAAAAAGAATACATTAAGAGTCTCGAGAAAAAAACCTGAGTTCCACTGCGGAGAATCGATCTCTGGATCGCCAGAAGGAGAACCACATGGTTGAACGATCAAACCTCTGAACTACGCTCACTGTAATTCATTATCACTCCCGATTGCAATCCGTTCTTTATTCAAAAATAATTCCGTTTCCAGAAACCCCCCAAAAACATAAACACCGAAAGAATAAAGAATTAAAAGTGTGTTTGTATCGATCGAAACGCAGCTTCGAGAATAGAGCGACAGGGTATCGACTTTTGAGTACGGAGAGGGAGACGGTGGATCGTAATGGAAAGAGAAGATTGTTGAGGGGAAGAAGACGACAGAGTGTGATTGTATAAAGTTGAAGTCGTGGAAGAATTTGGTGAAAGATTGTTACAATTATCGCAGTGAAGAAAAACACCAAACAAAATAAAATTCAGAAATTGCCAGAGAGGCAAAAGGATCTTCTTGGATGTGAGGGAGCTGGCATGCTTATGGGTTTCCGGGTCCGGGTTTCGGTGCGGATCCGGGAAGAACGAGTGGATGGTGGATTTTTATTGAATTTTTTTAGGAAAAAAAAAAAAAAAACTGTCTGCTAAATTTTATTTTGTAACAAAAACACATAACCCTTTTAGATTTGGATTTTGTTGCTTTCCTTTTTTAAAGTTAAAACTCTCCCTTTTGGATTTTTACAAAAATAATTATTACTTATTAAAATTGAAAAAACTAATTTAAATTTTTAACTTTATGATTATTTAATTAAAAAATATAACTATCACAAAACAATTATTTAATAAAATTTTCAATTAAAACAACTGCATAAAATTACAGACATAAATATCAAATTGGATGATTATTTTATAATATTTATTTTAATAAAATTAAAACTTAATTTATAAATATATTAATAAAATTACAGTAATAAAATTAAATTTTTTTAAATAAATTATGATATATCTTAATAAAAAAATATATTTCGTAGTAATCAAATTATTTACGTTATGATAATCATAACGGTATAAAAATTTGATGATATAAAATTAATTAAGATTATTATAAAAATCTTAATAGATAAATATTAAAATTTTAAAATATGCATTCACTATCTTTAATAATCAATTCGTATTCTCAACGATGATATTGGTTTTTACTAAAATTAAATAATAACTCAAATTTTAATAAATTGGTGTATAAATTATTTGAGAAAGTGCACGTAAAATATATATAATTATATACAATCATACTACATTGTAACACTCACTCGTCTCATGTAAAGGTTTAACTTGCGAGACAATCGTGGGACAAATGGGTTTGAATAAGATTTGAAGCATCTCTAGAAACAAACATTCCTTGCTGATTCCTTACTCCACTATGAAATCAATTATTTATATAAAAATATGCATGCATTTAATTAAATCCAAAAGGATCATTTGGCGTAATTTGAAAGCCTTGTTTGTCACCATGTAATATAGATTAAATTTTGTAGTTGATTTACACGAATTGAATTACAGGAGGTGTTTGAATCAATTTTTAACTTTAGCATTTGTGTTTAAAAATATGAGTAAAATACAATATTTGTAATAATAATTAAAATCTAAAAAATAATTTTAATTTTTACAAAACACCAACTTATTTATACAAGTATTACATTTATTTACCATAAAAGACAACATCGACATAACGGAAATTGACAGGCAGTCAGACAAGACAATCATCAAACACTTACCGTGCATTTTTCACTTCTAAACACACAAAGCAACCTGCAAATCTCCAAACCCCAAAACAAAATTTACAGTAAACGCCATTAACAAAGAGCTCAACACCGAGATTACAACTCCTTAATACTAGCACACACAAACTCATCAACCCGTGATTTCCACAACCCTAATATTACGCGAGTTCGCGGCAACCTCCTTAGCCACACTAACAATAAGAAACCCATTATCCATAGAAGCTGTCACCTGGTCAGCTCTCGCGTTATCGGGCAGCTTGAATCTGCTCGTGAACTTGTTGTCGTCGGTGGAAATTTGCAGCACGTTGTCTTCGTCGACAAATACAATCACCTCGTCGCTCGTGAGGCCCGGAAGGTACGCCTTGAAGACGTGCGCGTTACCTGTCTCGGTCCGTGTGATCTGGGTCTCGACGGAGGGGAAAATTTCTCGAGGAAATTGAGGGAAGAAAGAATTTGGAGGGAAAGGGAAATCAGTGAATGGGTTCCAGATTTCAAGATTCTTGAAAGGATCCCATGTGTCTATGTAGGAGAAGGGATTATAGATGGAGCCTTGTTGATCTCTGATGGGTATTAGTGACATGGTCCTTGTTTGGGAGTCGAGAAAAAGAGAAGGAAAGTGGAGGGAAAATGGTGGAAAATAGGAAAATTATAGGTGTGATGATAAATGCTCACCCACTCGGGGAGTTTCTAGAAATGTCCGAGGGAAGTATCAGGCCCAGGCCCATGCGTTTGACCCTGGTCAGCGGCAGGTGCATGGTCCTGAGCTTTAAAACGAGTCGTTTTGGGCTTTAGGGGGAATATAAATCTTTGAAACGATCTAGCCCATGTTCTGAACTAGATAGAGAGAATACGACCTTAAAACGATTCGTATTGGGGCCTCGATTTTGAATTTTAGTAACACAGTGCGTATAAATTTGTTCAAACTATAATATAAATAAATAAATAAAATTTTAGTATAAAATAAAAAATGAAAATTAAATTTTAAATCAAATCCAATTTAAACTCACTGCTGTAGCCATCAGACAAAATTACCTAAATTTTTAAGTCAAGATTAAATTTTGTGAATCAAAATCCGCTATTCAAGAGTGGGAGAATGGCTGGCGCCATGTCACTGTGAAAATTACGGGCCGCTAAGTACGACGGAGTCAATGGTCTAATTAACATGTGTTTTATGGTTAAAATTCATGCTTTGATTAAGAATTTCCCGCGATGCTTCCAATTTTCCTTCCCATTAAATTATCTACTCAGCCTACAAATTTGTACGTTTAAATGATTAAATTGCACATTAATATTTATCAATTAAAATTAATTATGTAATAAGTTTTAAATTTTAAATAAATTATCATTGGATTGAAAGGATACAAATCGATTAGTTTCACCGTTCCCATTAGTTGTATGTCAAATAAATCTATTTTTTTAAAAATAGATTTATAAAATTAGTAAGAATTATGAAAATTTTATTTTGTATGATATTAGACTATTCGTGAGGTTATTTTGTTGGCTAATTAATATCATGTTTTATTAATTTTGACCATTGTAGCTTATATTATATTATATTATACGGAAATATATTGAACTTTAGTCAGAGGGTGACAGTTAAAAGTTTGCATATATATAATATGTATGTTAAAGATGCGGGGAATATATATTTGAATATCTTAGGTCATAGCCATTGTAGTGAGTCGTATTGGATAGGCGATGGCTTTGGACATTAATTTTTACGGTTTTTATGTAAATTAATGTCATTTATTATAAGAATTAGTCCGTAGATAATTATTGACAAATATTATATACATATATATTTATGGTTTACGTCAACAATTAATAAAATTTGATAAGATTTTAATAAATTAAACAAATGATGGGAAATTTTACTTTATGTTTTATATATATTCTTATTTTATAGAATTGAACTCAATATTTTAATAATAAATTATTTAATCTTAACCAAACAAACAAAAAAACGTACACAACATCAACATGCAAATTCTGATCCGAAATTATCGGATAAAATAAAAGGAAATATTAAATATTGATAATTTATTATTGAGGAAAAAAATAAATTAAAGAGGTTTTCGTTTTCAATAAGTAAATACCAGTTGTAGAAAAATACAAAGTTGAAAGCAAACAAGATTTGTCTATTTGCTGTGATAAAGTTGTGATATAATTAACGGCTTTGTCGAACGACGTCGCATTAGCCAACTAATCCCGTAGGCGCTCACGTCACTGACTCTCGTGCGCCGCAGTTCGCGATTTCTCTCGCACCAATACCATCACTTTCTTAACCGCCAATTTTTATTTAATTGTTTAATTATATATTTTAAATTATCATTTAATTTATTTAAGTTACGATTATTTAAAAAACTAAAACCGAAAATATTTTTTAAATTATAAAAAATAATTAAAAAAATGTAAGTGGGAGAGAGCATAAATAATAAAATAATAATTTATTGAATATTAAATTAATTTATTTTAGATCAGGAGTGAACGACGTACAAGTTTAATAAAGATAAATAATTAAAAAATGAAGTTGAATCTGACGGTCAAAAAATAGCACGTGGGCCATCATGTTGCAGTTTTGTACTGGGACCCACGGTCATCTGGTATGATTCGATGAAAGTGCCAAAATTGCCACCGTCCAGATTAATGTTTTTCAGACACACAAGATAAAAGTTGTTCGCCTTAATAAGAAACGTGTACATCTTTGCCTCCAAATTTTAAAAATCTTCATTGAAAATTAAAATATTTTGACAAAATTATATTAAAAAAATAGAAAAGAATATTCTAAAATATACTTTAATTTAAAATTAACATTAAATAATAATACTTATGAAAAATTTAAATTAAAAAATTACATTTAAGTTAACAATAAAATAAAATAAGACCAGTAGAAAATCTCAAACATAATATTTAAAAATAAATTTACAAAGATAATGTACTAAACTTTATTCAGTTATAATCAATTCATTAATGATGTACTAAAATTTTCCAATTTTTATAAAAATAAAAAATTTGCCAAATTTAACAAGAGTAATTACCTTAAAAACTCTAATTATTAAATACTGATGGACATCAATTTGTCATTATTCCCGCTTCTGTGAAAAAAAATAAAAAATTCTAATTTAACCAAAGTAATTATCCTAATCACCTCGATGATTGATTAATGATTTATAACAATATTCCCCATTATTATTCCCTTAATCTAAAATTAATTTTTTGATAATTGAGTGTTTACGTGTATAATGATTTTTCTAACAGTGATAATATTGCGAGGCACACTATAATTAAGTATTTACTATAATATTTTAAATACGCACTTTCTTTAAAAATCTAAAATTAAAATTATATTACAACTAAATTATATAAAAAAAAATTTAAAATAATTAAAAAAAAAAAAAAATAGTGTCCCGTCTCGAAGAAAATTGTAAGAAACAGACTGATGACTCATCAATCATCGTGTACTATATATAATTGTGAAGAGATTGGTGATTAGAGAAAAAGCAGAAAAGAGTATCGGAGTGGGACCCACTTGGAAAATTGCAGTTGGGAAGTGGGGCCCAGTGTTCTTCTCTTGTCCCCAAACTGAAAAAGTAAAATAATATTTGTGCTTCATTTAAACAAAAATTAAAAAAATAATATTTTTTCATTTGTTTATTGAATGCTTTGTTTGAATGATAAATCATTATGTTAATTTAGTGAGCTTGTCTTAATTGAATCATTTTAAAATAAATTATATGGTTGGTTGGATGATTTTTAATAGTAAATTATTTTTAAATTTTTCAAAATGCTAATTCATTAATTTTTAATGGTTAAATATTTTTTTTTATTTTATCCTCACAATTATTTTTTAATTTTCGTTTTATTATTAAATTTAAAATTTTATTTTTTTATATTAAATATTAAAAAATTAAATTTTTAATTTTCATAATAAATTTATTTTTTAATATTTAAAAAAAATTTATTAAAATTACAATTTAAATAATTTTATGAAATAATTTATTTTTTATATTAAATATTAAAATTAAAATTTTATTTTTCATAACAAATTATTTTTTAATATTCTAATAAAAATTATTAAAATTTTCTATTAAAATAATTTTATAAATTAAATAAAAAAAATTAAATATTTTTTTATTTAATATTAATATAATAAGATATAAATAGATTAATAATTTAATTTAATATACAATAATATTATCGTATCAATTTAAACAAAACAGTTAGTAATATCATATATTAATACATAATCTTTTTAAATATGATATAATTTTATAATTATCATCTCATACAATTGTTAAACCTTACCGTACATTAATTATTCATAAAAAATTAACCAAATACAGTATAAGTGTTAGGTTTAATTTTTTATTGGGTAATTAAATTCTTAAAAACAATTTTAATAAAATAAAAAGTAAAATTAATAAAAATTTTGTATAAAGAAGTTAATAAAAATTAATTAAAATTAAAATATATATTTGTTATGACGGTAACTAAAACAGTAAAAGTAAAACTTAAACAGTAAATTTGTGCCAACAAACCAAAAACAATTCTTTAAATACTCCCGCTAACAACATTACATTTTCCAAGAGCCTTTAGTTTCTCTCTCCATTCGCATTCACTGTACCAGTCCAATTTTCCCATCAAACAATCAAATCCCGAGAAGCCGAGCAGAGTCGAAACAAGGCAGTTCTGGAGGCGGAGAAAATCAAGCTTTTGCATAAGAAAATGTGTCTGATTTTTCTATGTGATGAAGAAGAGAGGGAGCTCGGCCGGCAACAAGCTCCCGGGTCATGTCCGTACTGCGGAGGCAAAGTTGAAGCTCTGGATATCGAGAGTCAATGGCGTTTCTGCTTCTTGCCGATCTGTTTCAAGATCAAGAGGAAGTATTTCTGCACTTTATGCTCCAGGCGTCTGGTTTTGTATTACTAATTAGTAATTTCTAGAAAAATTTGATGGGTGAAATCTAATTAACCGTGGAAAGGTCTCACCGATTTGCAGTTTTTCTTTCTGTTCTTCTTTTTTCTTTTTTGTATTTCTCATCTTTCTTCTTCAATTAGCTCTCGAATGGGAGTTACAGAGGATCTTCTGTAAATATGGTTTAAGAGTCTATCGGACTTTATTGGTTCAATTGGTTTCAAAGCTGTATAATCTTTATCAGTTATCAGCATCCTGAAAACTGTAGATTAATTGATGCCATTTTAATTATTTTTTAAAGCTGTTTATCTTCTGGTTTCTGTTGTTTTCTTCTTTTTTTTTTTTCTCTGAAAAAAAAAATGTGAATACTGATCTGGATATTGGGTATATGTGCAGTTGTGCATTGAATTTTTGAGGACCACAGCAGCTTTATGCCATTAAAGAAGATCTTAACTGAGTATTTCTCTGATTTTGATGGGTTTTATTTACTTGCTTTACCCTTAAAACTCCACCTCTTCTCCTCCTTCCATTTTCTACTTTCTCAAATTGAAAATCGAAAACCGCGTCTGAGAATTTTAGTTAATGGGTATGTAAAAAGAGAAAAAAATAATAATTTCTCCAAAAGTTCAATAGTTGTCGGCTTAGATTTGGGCTAAAAGTGAGAGAAAATTTTGGGTTATTGTGCCAAAAAACTAACTGGGGAATACGACGGTATTTCAAGTGTATATTGATCGTATATCTAAAGGTTTACTTGAAATTTATTCAATTGATTTGAATTGAGAAGGGGTGTTGATCTCTAGAAATTATTGTTGGATTAAGAGGAAAAATTTGGGAGAACGCTGCAGTTTGGGTCAATCAATAATTAATTGAATGAGATTTAATGCTTAATTCATTAAATATATTTCAGTAAAAAAAAAAACACATATTTTAATGTTTAAATTCCTTAGAACAAAATTTAATTGAGTTGAAATGGGAATGGGTGATGAAGTGTAGAGAATTAATGTTGGATTAAGAGGAAGAACTTGCAACCACCAAGAAATGAGACTTACTAATTATTTCATTAATATGTTTCGATCAGAAAAAAAAAGCCATCTAAATTTTGTTAATTATAATGAAATTAAATTTTTATTAGGGCAAAAACAATAAATAAAAGAAGTAAATTAGTAAGAAAATTTGACAATGGAAATGAATGGGCGAGTTTGTGGGTGCCAGTTGTAGTGATTTTGGATTTTTGTAAGTAATTACAAGTACAAAGCTTAACGCTAGAAGTGGCTAATATTTCACTTTCTTCCTGGATATCGATTTAGTACAGCACAACACAGATCTCCCCACTCAGAAATGAAAAATACTTGAAAGGATATACGCTACCCTTCATATATATATATAGACACACTCATTTCTGGCAGCAGAGCAATATTTGATGTGGATAATGTTTGTTTCCTGAGAAAATTACTTAGTCTTTATACATAAGCTCTTACATAAGAAACTAAATGGCGTCCCTACAGTTTGCCAAAAGGCGTCAAGACATTTTCCTCCTAATTGCTAGTTCCGTGACTGTAAAAAAACATTTTTTGTCATGCAACTTTAAATCAATGCATTAATACGAATGAATAATAATTGAAATTTTTTTTTTGAAAATTATAAATTTAAATTTTATTAATTATATAAAATTTATTATTTTATGTATGTATTTAATTAAAATATTTAAGAATTGATTAATACCCGGACTTAAAAAACTCGATGTCGATACATTCGGATTGCATTAATTTTGTGGGGCTTATAATTTATAGTTAGAAATATTGGAAGGTGATGTATTGAAGGATTTGAAGGAGGGAAAGAGATGGAAAAGGGGAGAAAAAAAGGAAGCAGAGAGTCCCATTCCAATCTACTTTCACGTGCATTTCCCACACCTCACTCTCCAATTATTTGAGATACTCCCATGCCCATCCACCATTCATATATATACATGTACGTATATATATTATCGAAACTTCTTTTGCGGTATGATTGATAAATTTATTTCTATAAATTATTTGATGGTCTAAAATTTTATGCTTTAGTATTATAATAAGTGTGTAAGTATTATTTAATTAATTAAATATGTGTTTTAGTAATATATTTATATATGCTTAAAATGTTATTAAAATACATTAACACATTAATTGAATAATTATTACACAAGTTTTAAGAAACTATTTGTTTGAGTTAAATTGTATATTACTATCTTATAATGATTATTTATTTATTAACTAATTAATGAAATATCTGTTTTTATTAATATATATGTGTACAAATATCTACACTTAAAAAATTTAATTATTAAAGTATAGTTTAATAAAATTTTCTTCTCATATTATTGAGTTTTGTACATTTAAAAATTGGGTCGCTCGTAAAAATAAACTAAGAAATACATTGTAAAATTCTAAAATCTTAAATTAAATGAATTTATAATCTAAATGCGTAAGCAATTAATGAAGTTAGGGTTTATATCCCTTACACAATAATTTAAAATGTCTAATACGTTTACAAGAATATACATTCTAAAAAACAAACAAAAATTAAAAAAATGAAATAAAAAACGAATAACTAAACATCTTATAACAACCTTCACCAGCACTTGAAGGGAATCCGGGAAGTAAACTTGTAACGGCCCCAGAAATTAAAAGGAAATGTATATAAAAATTCTAAGTGCGGAAGCAAAATAAAATAGATTGTGGTTAACATCCATTACACAATAACCAAAACGTATTAAAAATATGAAAGAACAAGCTAACTAAAGAAAATACTAGAAATGAATGTCATAAGGAAAACTATAAAATCTTTTAAGCTTCTACTCGCCGTCTTCATGCGGAACAGTCTCGGGAGCCAACGTTTCCGATAGAGTTCCCTATGGACCCGGTCCGTCCACCATCTCCTAAGATATCTAGTGAGGCTGTCAACTTACCCAATTATCAATTCAATCCCATTCCTATTTATCCTTAGTCTTCGTTACCCATTCAAACATAACTATTTAAGCAAGCAGCGTGCATACACAAGGCAAGCATATATTAAATTCACAAAATCAAGCAGCAGTGAAGCAAACGGTGATTTATGCATTCAAAATCATAGAATAAATAAGCA